GGAGCAGGAACGCAAGCCCGAGGTGGGGGCCGGCAACCTCCGTTTACTCAGATTTCAGCTCGTGGAAAGAAAAACAAGGCCCTTTATTTCGGCGTAATTAAAACCAAACACGGCGCGGCCGTGAAGCCCCAGCCGGAGCGGTGTCCGCACCCTGAGCCAAAGGCAGTGGAATTTGCGCCTGGGGGGAGCGAGGGCTGATTAGCCCCAGATGTTGGAAGGCAGCGCTGGCCGGAGCCAGAGGGACTCATTCCTCAGCCATAAACATTTCGGCTCCGTCCCCTCGTGGCCCGGCGGGGTGGGGGGCGGGCGAGGCAGAAAGGGGCGGGATGGGAGACCGGGATGCTGGCGGGCATGTTTGTCACCCGTCCCTGTGCCTGTCCTCGGGGTGTGCTCCCATCCGACCGGAATGGTGCAAGCGGCACGCTCCTGCTCCTCTGGCCCCGGCTGTCCCCCCCTACCTCACCCCACTTCTCTTTCCAGGGGTCGGAGGACTCGGGGGACTCGGCCCACTTGGCCTGCAGCCAGGTGAGCACAGACCACCGGCCGCCCTCGCTCTGGACTGTCCCCAGAGTGATGTCCCCAGACACCCACCTTGGGGACAGCACGTGGCTCATCCCCATTGGGTGCTCTCCGTAGCCTCCCTGGTGGGTCCCATCTGGGCTGGGCGCCCTTCCCAGACCTGAGGGACCAGCAGCCACCGACGGGCAGCCCTGTGGTCCCCCAACATCATGGCACCAACCATGGCTGGGTGACCCCAAGCAGCGATAGGCGAGGAGGGACACGGGGTCCCCATGGTGTCTGCAGCAGGGGGACAGTGCCCGCATGTGGCCCGGCCAGCCTGCCCGGGGCCACAGGGGACCCCAGCGTGCGCAGCAGCCGGTGACACCGCAGGGTGCCCTGGGTGGCATGGGCATAGCTGGTGACTGGTGGGATGTGGATGGGAGCAAGCATTTGGGGGGGACGCAGGGAAAAGCCGGTGCAGGACAGGTCAGCGCCTGCTAACCACCGCCTTGCCCAGCCTAACGCCAGCCCCCGGCACCCCCGCGCAGCCCCCCACGGCTCACCACCCCCTGCGCCCACCACGGCCGGCGTGGAGGGCAGGACACCTTCTCGCCGGCCGCTTTTTGGGGATGCTCACGCTGGTTGTTCTCCTCCCCGCAGGTGCTGCGGGTCTCTTCCCCGGAGGCGTCTTCCCAGGTGCTGTCTCTGCCGCTGCGCTCAAGGCTGCTGCGAAAGCTGGTGAGTGCTGAGGGTGTCCGATGCAGTGCTGGGCCAGGCAATGATGCCGGGCAAGGCAGCGATGCCAGGCAAGGCAATGCCGGGTCTTGGGCAGCCCCCAGGGACTCCTGGTGTCCCCTGGGTGGCTGGGTTAGGAGAGTGTTCCCCATGGAGCTGGGGGGCTGCAAGTGGGAGGTGCTGCTCCCGCAGGGATCCCCGCTGATGCGGGGGGACCCTGGCACGTCTTGGTGTGCTGAGAAAGGGGCGTTGGCCAAGCCCGAGCCCCCAGGAGCGGAGAGCACTGAGCTGCCTGGTCCCTGTGCCCAGGTCTGGGGGACCCATCCCCGGTGCTGCCTCACAGTGTCCCCTTCACCCCCCAAGAGCTGTCCTGAGCTTGTCCCTTCCTTTGCACCTCTCCGGCCACCCGTAGCCCAGCGGTGGCATCTCACACTGGTACGCTCCTCTTCCCAATGCCCCCAGGTGCTGGCATTGGTGGCGTGGGTGGAATTGGTCCTGGTGGCCTTGGGGTCTCCACAGGTAGGAAATACCCCTTGTCCCCAGCATAGCCGACCCCGGGGCAGATGCGTCCTCATGCCTGCCAGGGTGGGCAGGAGCCAGTGTGCCGGGGCTCAGGGGGTCTCTGCTGCCTGCAGGTGCGGTGGTACCGGGCGGGGTACAGCCCGGGGTTGGCGCGGCAGGGAAACCCCCCAAAGTACCAGGTAGGTGCACGGCCCCGAAGCAGGGGGCCGGGGCGGGGAATGGCTCCGGCTGGGCGCTCATCCCCGCCTTTCTCTCGCCCGGCAGGTGCTGGGATTCCTGGAGCTTTCCCGGGCGGCGTGCTCCCTGGCGCAGGTGAGCTGGGGGTCCCCACCCCACCAGCAGCACCCCGCTTTGAGTCAATGGCCTTGTGGCCAGCTGCACCCTGGGGCGTTATAACACCTCCCCTGCCTGCCCTGCCCACGCAGGCAGAGCACCCTGCCCTGCAGAAGGCTGCGTGCAGCCCCGTGCTGCCCGCCTGCCCGACTCCCTGCCTGCCCCATCACCGCTCCCTGCAGTTTCCAAACCCTTTTGCTGGGGCCGTAGTGACATTTCCACCATGCCAAAGGCGGGGGGACCCTGCGTCTCCGGGGGTCTCGTGCCAAGCTCCGCGGGAGCAGGCGGCATCAGCACCGGGAGAGGAGCTGGCACAGAGCACGCCAGGGGAGCGCCCACAGCCAAAGGACGGCGTGGAAGGAGGGGGAGGAGGTGGCGGGGCGAGAGGAATTCCTCACTGCAAAGTAATTTGGGGGAGGAAAACTTGTGAAAACAAGATGTTTCGACATTGTCAGAAGGAGAAGTGTGTTGCTGGTCAGGAATGTCTTTTCCATGTCTGAAAACGCGTGAGTTATAATGAAAGACATTTGTAAAAGGGAAAAAAACCCAAACCAAAAAAAAAAACACCACCACCAAAACCCCGACCCAAATGACTGCAAGGCCAAAGCGCTGCCTGTTGCCCCTGGAGGGTCGGGGCTCAGTGAGCAGGACCCCCCCCCCCACACACTCCCCAGAGAGCCCCAGCTTGCATGAAGCCACTGCACATAACTGGGGCAGAGAGCAATGCCCGGGCTTGGCTATACCATGGCGTGGGCTGGTGCTTTGTTGTCACGAGTGGGACCCACTCGTGGGTACCATGTACCCTGCAGGCACCCTGAGCTCCTGCGTGGGCAGCCCGCCTCCCCCCACCGCCCCAAAGCACAGGCAGCCGCAGGGCTGGAGCAAACCCTTCCCTGGCAGCTCTGCCCAGGGGGTGTGGGGGTGCTGGCACAGGGTGGGTCCCAGCAAGCCCCCGAGGGATGAAGGTACCCTGTCCCAGGGTACAAGAGTTAGCGCTGAGCCAGAGAGGGGTGACAAGGATTTGGGAGCTGAGTGTAGTGGTCTTGGGTACCAGCAACGCCACGATGCCCCACTGCGCTCACCTGGCCCCTCCGGTCCCTGCTGCAGGTGTCCGCTTCCCTGGTGTAGGGGTGCTGCCTGGAGTACCCACTGGTGCTGGAGTCAAGCCGAAAGGTCCAGGTAGGTCCCCTTGATCCCCTGGAGACACCGGGGTGGAGGGCGGGTCCAGGGCTGGCTCTGCCCTCATCCCCGTCCTGCTGGGGCTAGCTCCAGCCCATCCTTTGGGGTCACAGCCCCACAGGGCATGTGGGCGAGTGAAGCTGACCTCTGGCTGAGCCCACACAGCCCACGCAGACTAGTTTGGACCCCGAGCACTAGCCCCGAGGCTCATGTGGGTACCTTTGTGTTTCTGCCTAGGAGCAGGAGCCTTCGCAGGAATCCCTGGTGAGTGTCCTGTCTCTCTCGCCCATCCTTCTCTTCCTTCCCAAGCTTGTTCATCACAGCCATGGCCTCCCCATGCCAGAAGATGCTTCAGGGCTTCCCAAGCCACCCGCTCTCCTCTCCCGGGGTGCCCCGGGGCGCTCCCCTTTCGCAAGGACTGGTGGCAGCCTGCGCGCGGGCTCCAGGTGAGAGTCTGCTGTTGGCTTTGCAGGACTGGGAGGTTTTGGAGGTCAGCAGCCTGGTGTCCCTCTGGGGTATCCCATCAAAGCTCCTAAGCTCCCAGGTAAGCTGCCACAGCCAATGGGGCTAGGGGTGAAGGACCCCCAGCAGCGCCAGAAGGACCCGCCGTTCCACGTGCCCCCGGGTCCCCTGGACCGGGCAGTGCCCATGCTGGCCTTGGGGCAGGAGGACAGAGCAAGGGGTGATGGGCAGGTGAGTCCAGCAGCAGCCCTGCCTATCGCAGCCCCACGGGCAGCTGCCTGGATGCTGCTGCTGGTCTTGCCCCCAGCCCATGGGGACGATGCTGTGCCTCTCTCCAGCTGTTGTAAGGTAGGAAAGAGCATGTTCTGGGGACATGCTTTGGGCCAAGCCACCCCAGGCTGTCCCTGCCGGCTCCTCCTGGCACGAGGCACAGCCCTTGCAGGGACTGTCTGCTTTATGTGGCTCCTGGGGTTGTGCCGGGCATCGCTGGGCATTCACCTGGGCCAAACATCCTGGCTCAAGGAGCTCTAGCCAAGGCCACCAACAGCAGGCATGCGGTGGGGTTGGAGCTCCAGGCAGGTCTCCCTCCCCACTGCCCACCCAAATGAGGCTCCGCCCCAGCCCAGGGAAGTCTGGGGGTGCTCAGCACCCATTTCCCAGGTTGGACTGCTCCGGGAACCTCCATCTCCCAGCCCTGTGCCAGGTGCCAGCTCTGCCTGTCCCCAGCCGGCCATGCCCACGCAGGGACAGCGGCAGGACAGGCAGTGGCAGGCAGCCAGCACCAGGTGCTGTGCCCTCCAAGGGCCACGCTGCCAGCTTACTGGTCCCAAGAGCATCCCTGAGGAGGAGGGCAGCCAGATCTGGGAGGGGACCCGCATCTCTGGGGTGCTGGTGAGCCAGTAGATCCACGGGCATTTTCCCACTCGCCGAAACAAGTTGCTGCAGGCAGGAAAGCCTCGGTGGGGGGAGCCCAGCCCTGGGGAGCAGGTCCCACCCCAGCACGGGCGCCAGCCCTGGCAGCTCTGCTGGCTTCCCCCCACCGGGGCCCGTCGCCGCAAACAGCGGCAGAAATACTTGGCCCGCTCCGGCTTCCTCCCACGGAGGCAGAGTTACGCTCGTTAGGGCGACTCGGCCCCGCCGCCATCGGATACCGTCTGGCCTCCTGGCTGCAGCCCGGCCCCAGACAGCCTTTCATGGGGTGCCTGGTGTGGAGAGCAAACCGCCGGCGCATGGCGCGGCTGTGCCTGGCTCCATCCCGTGGCAGCCCCGCCAGTGGCCCACGGCCTGGATGGGACGCCGCTGCCGGCTGACCCACTTTATGGGGAGCCTTCGTTAAATAAATCAGGGGAGGACATCCATCCCCTTGGCCAGGGAGCCCTGTCAGTGCATCACGCTTCTTGCAGGGACCAACGGGACAGTGGTGGTGTCCCCAGCTGTGGTTTCAGCTGCTGGGTGCTGCCTGGCACCCCGGTCCTTCCCGGGGCGCTGGGGGATGCCAGTTTGTCACCTTTGAGGGCTTGGGGCTGGCAACGCGGGGACACGCTGGGCTGGCTGTCAAGGCTCTCGCTTTGATGCTGCGGACGGACCCAGGGGCTGCCACACATCCCCGTGTCCCTTGCGCTGTGTCCCAGCTGCAGTAGGTCCGGGTCGAGAGGGGACAAGGGGACAGCGGGGAAAGCAACATTTGCAGTGGAAAGTCTCCTTTTTGGATGATTTGCTCCAAATGCCCTAGCCAGCTCCTGCTCTGTGCTGTCCCTGCTCAGGAGGCGGCCCCGGGACCATCCCGCTCGCTGGGGGCTCAGCCTGAAGCTGTGGCTGAAATCAGGGTCCCACCCGATGCCGTAGGGCTGGGGACTGCTCCCCAGTGCCCAGCTGCACTGGGGTGGCATCGGTCTGTGCGAAGCCCTTTCCATGCCAGCCAGCGTGCCCATTGGCCCTGAGCCCCCCACAGCAGTGCTGGTGGCATCCCCACGCCGGCGCAGGATGGGTGCGCACAGCCCCGGGGCAGGGGCTGCTCTCGCATCTGGCTGGGGGTGGTGGGGAGTTGGGCTTGGACCCGGCAAAACCCTCTGAGACCCAAGGGCTTGGACTCTTGACCCTTGGAGTCACCTCCACATGTGTCGCCCAGTGCCAGACCCTTCTGCAGCTTTGGGGTGAGTGAGGCACTGATGAGGTGCCCTGGGATGGGCAAGGGGGGTCCCCAAGGTGGGGGACACCCAGCACAGCTCACTGCCACCACAGCCTGGAAAGCCTTCGCCTTCCAGCAACGCTGCGCTGGCGTGGGACACCGTGGGACACCCTGGAAGGGTGGAGGGAAATCTGGTCCCCACATGCTGGCTGGTGGGAGGGGGTGGTGTCCCGTGCTCAAGGAGATGCTTTGCCATGAGCAATCCCGTTCTGGCTGCAGGCAGCTGCATCCCCACCCTGCCCGCAACCCCCTCCGGCAGGAGGGCTTGGTGTGCGAGACACCCTCCACCCTACGTGCCACTCGAGGTGTCCCCATCGGGGATGTGGCAGCCCATCACCCCTCCTTACGCCGCTGCCAGCAGTGATGGGAGCTCGGTGCTGACGGCTCCCAAGCGCACAGTCCCCGCCGAGCCACAGGCATCCCTGCGCCGTCCCGAGTGGTGGGATCCTGCTCTTTCGCAAGGAGACATTTCCCTGCCTGCGATGTTCCCGCTCGTAATCCCTCCCCGTCCCTTCGCACCGACCTCCTAACGAGGTCACGTTTCAGCAGAGGTTCCCAAGCCCTGATTCCAATTAAGACCTTTCATTTAGAGCCGGCCATGGTGCAGCCAGCTGGGTACAGCTCTTGCCGTGGGGCTCCTGGGGGACCCCCCGCTGAAGTGGGGTCATGGGAGGCTCCTGCAAAACCGGCTTTGGGCGCCACAGCCCTCCGCACGGGGCTGAGAGCGGGTGGCTCTTTTTGGAGCTGCTGCTTCCAAGGTGATGGAGAAGAGCATCTCCTGGCCCGGCTCCACCACGGGGGGTTGTATCCTGGAGGATTTACTATCCCAATGGAAGGAGCCCTGAGGGCTGGTGCCGCACAGCCGGCTGGCAGAGAGGGGCTACACCGCGGGGCAGAGGGGGCACGGCCACCGGCAGCCAGGTGCTAACCCGCCACCTTCTCTCCTCTCCAGGTGGCTATGGATTGCCCTACAGCACTGGTAAGCTGCCCTACGGTGAGTGCTCGTAGCCCTCGCTCCGCGGTCGTAGCTCCTCGCGGCTCTGCCCGCCTCCGCCC